CATCTCAAATATTTCATGAGCTCAATAAATACAGGGTGTCCCCCAAAAGGCATACACACCTTAACAGCTCATAGCTCAATTTTGAAAATAAAATGTATTTTAAAAAACACTGCCTTGGCCGAAACCGGTTTGGCTCAGTGGATAGAGCGTCGGCCTGCGGACTGAAAGGTCCCAGGTTCGATTCCGGTCAAGGGCATGTACCTGGGTTGCGGGCACGTCCCCAGTAGGAGATGTGCAGGAGGCAGCTGATCAATGTTTCTCTCTCATCGATGTTTCTAACTCTCTATCTCTCTCCCTTCCTCTCTGTAAAAAATCAATAAAATATATTTTAAAAAAAAAAAAAAAAAAAACACTGCCTTTATCATTACGCAAAGTGTGTGTATACCTTTTTGGGGGACACTCTGCATTTACTATAGAGTCATAACGTATCATAGGACACAAATCCAGCTACATGCACTTGGTCCGTCTCTCCCACCAAAAAGAAAGACAGAGAAGTACAACATTTTCAATAGTGTGGACACTCCAACCACCCAGTCACTCAATGACCGGCCCCAGCATCAGAAAGAAGAGAGGCTAGACCTACTGTCGACTTGGCTGGTTTTATTTCCTTTTACTTCCCTCAGTGGTGAAGCTGAATATAAGGCTAGAGCAGTGGTTCTCAACCTTGGCTGCACATTAGAATCACCTGGGAATCTTTTTAAAATCCTGATTTCTGGGCCTCATCCTCCGGAAATTCTGTTTCTTTGTAATGGGGTGGAGCCACAACATTAGTAACAAAGAAACAGAATTTCCGGAGGATGAGGCCCAGAAATCAGGACTTTAAAAAGATTCCCAGGTGATTCTAAAGTGCAGCCAAGGTTGAGAACCACTGGGCTAGAGTCTGACATGTAAGTGTTTGGGATACATCAGGGCCTCCAAATAAGAACCAGCTGATCCATTTGATTCCCAACCCAAAGCAAACAAACAAAACAAAATGACAACCTGGCCCATTATTGGAGAAAACCCTGGCTCTGTTGGACCCAGTGAGGGCCGTCCTATGTTACTGTATTTCGTAAGCCACCGGAAAGTTTTTTCAAGGATAACCTTGACTCCAAGCTTTATTTGACCGACCCTTTATGGGAGATGCGCAATACAATGCAGTCAAGTAAGATGCACCTGCTGTATACAAGGTTCTGCGCTGGATTGAAATTACAGGGAAAATTTGAGGGGAAGATTCCTGGATCGCTTAGTGGGCACTTTAGAGGTCTGAGAACAAGATTATTCATACACATACACATATAACTTGAGAGTGAGTCACATTACTGTAGTGCGGGCCAATCTTGACCTGTCCTTTTCCTGATCTAATAGCTCATTTAATCTTTCCTTTCCTTAGTAAGAACTGTGAGCATGCCAAATGATGTAGATTAAAAAGGTGAGATAGTAGGACAGATATTTGTTTTTAAATTTCTGTTTTTAGGACTAATTTTTGATAGAGATGGAGACTTTGCTGGTGGTAGCAGCGGCGGTTTTTTAGAACAAGCTAGTGACTTAAAAACAGAAGTATAAACACAGAAGGTTTCTTTGTCTGCTGATCGCTGTAGCTACGTCAGCCCGTGGAAGGCTTTCATGGGTAACGGATATAGCATGTGTGCACTGTGTGCTCATGTGCCCTCACATCAAACGTTACCCGCTGAGTAATGCTACATTACACACGTGCTGAGTTCAGCAAGATGGCCTCCCTGTCCCCAAGCAGTCTCCGTCGCATCAAATCTGAAATGCATCATGACAAGCATTTCTTGTAATTGTTTAATAAAGGACATTTTCAAGAAAATCTAATCCACCTCTTTCTAATTCCGTTATAGCTTTTCCCCTTAAGATGTTACCTTGCCCGAGCTAGCTCTGCTTTAAAAAAAAAAAAAAAAAAAAAAAAATCTTTTTCTATCTTTTTTTGAGATTTCTGTGCAAACAGGTTGTCCTTCAAATACCTGGGGGCCTCCCCAGCCCTCAACTCATGTTTGATTCAAGTTCAGAGTGAGCCTTGTTTAATCGCTTGGACTCCCCAAGAGGCTGGAAAACATACCACCCCATGATCAGGAGAAGAGAGCTGTGAAGCAAGCATTGAATTTTCTCACAACTCAAACCTAACCCTTCTCTCCCTCCTTATAGGATCGAATGGAAATTGCAAAGGTTACGTGCAACACCTCACTCAAGCTGACTTTTTCAGTTCAGGAGAAACAAGGGCAATAGCTAGGGAATGTGACTTTAAACCGAGAGCCATCCTGCCCAGGGGTAGCCCCCCATAGCGATTACATCGACAGATCTTGGCAGCTTTATTTTAGAACTAGGAAGGATGGCAAGAGAAACAACAAATATACTCACTTTTAAAGCTGATATACTGGAGAGGCCAAAATCCTCCTTTCCTCCTTGGTATCCCAAGTTACTCATGCCAGTTTGTGAAACTGCGCATCATTATTTTAATTGTCTGCAGCTTTGGGTGGGTTTTAATAATCTCACTGGGCTGGCTCCAAGCAAGGCCCCAGGCCTTACAGTTAAGAGTTTGCTCCAGGACATTTGGTGGCCGGCAACTCAGGTTGAACTAAAGCAGTGGTTCTCAACCTTCCTAATGCCGTGACCCTTTAATACAGTTCCTCATGTTGTGGTGACCCCAATTTCATGGTTACAAATTGAACATAATTAAAGCATAGTGATTAATCACAAAAACAATGTGTAATTATATATGTGTTTTCCGATGGTCTTAGGCGACCCCTGTGAAAGGGTCGTTCGACCCCCAAAGGGGTTGCGACCCACAGGTTGAGTACCGCTGAACTAAAGGAACAGAGCCATTGACAAGCTTTGGAACAAGATTTGGGGTGGGGTTTTTTTTCTCCTTTCTCATAACATAGAAGCTGATTGTCCTCTGATGTAACAGAGATAAATTGGAATGGGCTCTGGCAAAGGTTTTATTTGATCAACAAACACTGCCCAAGGGATAGCTGTGCATGTCCCTGCTTTCCACAGCTCTGTCTTCTGTGGATTCATCCCTGCCCCACATTTTCCCTTTTCTCCAACCCTCCCCACAACTTTCCTAGACGAAAAATCTCTGAACAAAAGCTCCCCTTGCACAGAATGTTCATTATCAGGTGACAGAGGGTCAGCCTGTGAGCAAGGAATGTTTAGCCAGAGAGAAGGGAAGTCGGCTGGTGCTGGAACCAGCAGCATACAGGCCCTTTCAATTGCTGTTCATTTCTCCTTTCTATGTCGCTCACCCTGGAGAAGCCTCAGGCCTACTAATATCTCAACACCCCCCTACCCACCACCCCTCAAGCGCTCAGCTGGATTGTTGATGAACCCTGGCCCTACTCCGGCTGCAGATTCTGCCCATAGTCTGGGGGGCGTCCTGCCTGAATGGCCGCTTTTTACTCAAAGCTACTTGATGAATGAAAACTTGAAACATTCTTTTCAGGGGTGGGGAACCTTTTTCCTTCCAAGGGCCATTTGGACATTTATAACATCATTCTCGGGCCACACCAAATTATCAACTTAAACATTAGCCTGTTATGTTTGGTCAAACATTCAATTAACTCACCCCTAATGCCTTGGCAGGACCAGACCAAATGATTTCTGGGGTCTTATATGGCCCACGGGCCAGACGTTCCCCACCCCTGCTTTAGATGTTCCTGGGCATTTGAATCACTCTCTAAATGGGTTTGACATGAAAAGGGAGAAAGGGGGAAAGAGGGGAGCTACCTGTCCAAAGAGTAGGTGGTCCTGTGCTGTCTCAGCAGACCCACACAGGAATCGGTTCCCTGTGGCACAAGTCATGTTTGCAGGGTCCCCCCAAAGACCAAGGTGACTGGTTTGGTTTTGTTTTGTTTTGATCTTTCTTCTTTCATGGTGACAGTCAATATTGCTGCCACCATTCTGTCTGGACTTTCCTTGTAACATCTTCAACATTGCCCTACATTTGTGCGATTCCAAATCTCTGTGGCTCCGTGGAGAAATAGGAAGACCAGCTGAAGTAGAAGTAAAATTATTTTCTTGCAGTTTTTCTTTTGGGTGAGTATTGGGAAACAAGGAAGTTGAGGAGGTGAGCTGGGCTCTCTGGAGAATCTCTTGGTTACAAAGGAAGTGTAGCTAAGTAAGGGTGGTCCTCCAGGAAGCCCACTAAAGCGAAAGTCAAGAGCTACAGTGCCCACTGGAGTTGCCAGGGACTGTGACATGCATCCGCCCAAATTGGACCTTAATAATAAATACCTCAGATTCACTGTCACACAGAAGTTACGGGACCTATGTGACATGACCAGAGCTACATGGATACAATGAGACAATAAGGACTGTGGAGTAAGTGTAGAGGGCTGGCTGGTGTTGGAATCAGAGCGTGGGGTGTCAAATGGGGGGAGGGGGAAACTTTCTTTTAACAAATCAGCACTATAGTCCTGCTGTGGAGATAAGAAACGTGGTGATGAACAGGCCCAAAATAATCTCCAAGGGCACCAGTCTTTTTGGAGTTATGGCAATCTACCCACAAAATCTCTGATTTCCCAATATTCCCCTTCCGCTCCTTACAGGAGTGGCATTGATGTATAAGCCTAAGGGGATCAAAGTTAATTTAATTTTGAGGATTTCTCAACAGACTTCAGCTGCAGGTTGTTGTGAAACTGAAGTTGGACAAACGTAGGCCGAGAGGAACAGATGATCACCCCAGGAAACAAAAGACAAGTAGGACAGCCCGGCTGGCACGTCTCAGTGGTTGAGCATCGACCTATGAACCAGGAAGTCACAGTTCGATTCCCAGTCAGGGCAAATGCCTAGGTTTTGGGCTTGATCCTCAGTGAGGTGTGTGCAGGAGGCAGCCAATCAATGAGTATCATTGATGTTTCTATCTCTCTCTCCCTTTCCCTTCCTCTCTGAAATCAATAAAAATATATTTTTTAAAAAAACAAGTAGGACAGAACCCCCTTTTTCAGGTAAGGGCAAATAACAGTAAAAGAGAGGAAGCAAGTTTATTTAACAAACGATTTTATGACCTATGAGATCTACCCTTCCAGGATCCAGCTGAGGCTCACACTACTGTGCTCTGGTCGGGGAGAGGTGACCTCGGGTGAGCCCAGGGCCACCGTGGAATTACAGACAGCTGGGTAAAGGCCTGGCAGGGAGCCTTCAAAGGTAAGTCAAGCGAGTTGGTAAGTTTCCCCAAACAAAGAACACACACATGCACAAGTACTTGATAGAGAACAAATTTCTATAAACATTTCCTTCTGAGCAAAGTTTGAGGCGCAGGCCAGCTTTTTCCCATAAAAAGGAGAGCGATGAATGGCGGTGATTACACTCACTGGTTTTCTTTGTGAGGTCATATTTTTTCATTATTTGCCGGAAGTAATCATGCACATGCACACAGAGACGGATAAGCCATCTAATGCAAATACCACCAAGCTTACAGCTCGGCCTCCTGTTAGAAGTCTCTGAAGTTCCTCCGCTCTGAAGTAAGTCCTTCTTCCTGTGCCCTTGGACCAGGCTTTCCTGAGAGTAGCAAAGGATGTTTTCCATCCTCTTCAGCTCAAGCTAGCATCTAAAGCGGAGATAAACAGGCTCAGCTTTGAGCACGGAAGCTGGAGAGCAGACTCCTCACTGGATATCTAGCTGCCTTCTGCGTGTCCAGTGCCACGTGAAGCTCTGGGGAAACACAGAGGAACAACACCCAGTTCTTGCCCTTGAGAAGTTCGTGGTGTAGGGGGCGAGCCAGGGCTCCTCTCATGGTAGCTGCTCCTGAATGGGGGCCATGGTTGCTAGGCAGCAGGTCCAGAACAGTTATTCAAGTCGGGAAGTCAAGTCCTGCTTTTAGCTCTGCCCCTTGACATGTGAGATAAGCCACTTGTCTCAGGATCCTCTGCCTACAGTGTAATACATATAATTAGGGAGTTACTTAACATCTCCTGTAATGAGCTGCAGTTACATATGCCCAGATATATCTTAATGACTCAAATTAAAAGGGAATATAATTCTGTTCCCAGGTCATCTTGAGTAAAATCCAAACACCTTTCCCACCAGTCTTACAGATCATTATTATACTAGAGGCCCAGCACATGAAATCGCGTGAGACCCAGACCCGCCGCTCTGGCAGGGACCCAGACTGACTCCCACCACGCCGAGAGACCGAGACCTGCCGTGCAGCGAGACCCATCAATGCACCTCCTGGTGACTGGTCGTTTGGTTGTCACGGCGTTACGGCCACTGGCTTTTTATAATATAGATTTCTTTGGTGTTCTCCAAAATGCCATTCACAAATTCAGTAAGTACTTGCTGAGAAACCAAATGAGCAACTGACTCAAGAAGCATTTTGAATTCTCTGGATCATTCATTGGCTCCTCATGCTACAATGTCTAGTGCTGAGACAACTACAGTCCTTCACTCTATCATGGTCATCTACCTGGTATCCATTCCACCTGTTTCTAGTAATAGTCCCTCCTTTGGCTTTGGGAACAATCCCTCCCTATTAGATACAGTCATAGTGGTTCCACAAACCTAAGGTAGGCTAGAAAGAGAACATCAGAATTACAATACTGAATGTTCTTGAGAACGATCCACGTTCTACTGAGACTGTGGTATCCTGAGGAGATTATTTCTTAGATCCTGATGCCTCAATCCCAGGGCCTGCCCTGGCTCCTGTCCTCTCTGAGCCTGTATATTCTGCTTTCCCTTTAGTTCCTTGACCTGCCTTTATATTCGTACAGTAAATATCTTATGCGCTTAAATTAACTAGCGTTGGTTTCTGTTGCTTGCAAGGGAAGTGTTCTAACTCCAGCCACACCCCTTAGAAAAAGTCCAGGTAATTTAACTGGGGTAACAAAATAGAGAAAAAGAACTTCCCAACTAAAAGAATTCTTCAAAATTTAGTCCAACTCTTTTGCTTTGCAGACAATCTGACCCAGAGAAGTGAAGTGACTTGATCAGAATCATAACATTGGTTGGTGAGAGTCCAGTTTAGAACCCAGGACACCGGGCTCCCTGTCTAGGAGCCTTTGCACTTTTTCACTCTGTTTCTTGTCCACAGGTCTCCTCTTCCATGGTTATTGCCTGTGGACAAGAAACAGAGTGAGTAGTTATAGCAGAAAACATAAATTAGTTCCCAAAGCCTAAATTATTTACTGTCTGGCCTTGACAGAAAAAGTTTGCCTACACCTGCCATACACAATTCGTAAATGAATGAATGTGGCTATGTTCCAATAAAACTTTATTTATAGACACTGACATTTGAATTATATATCATTTTCAAGTTTCTCAAAATATTCTTTTATTTTTTTTTCAAACTTTTGAAATATAAAAACCATTCTTAGTTCATGGACTGTACAAAAACATGCAGCAGGCTGAATTTGACCTACAGGCTGTAGTCTGTTGACCCCTGGTTTAAACCCAGTTTCTGCTATTTGCAATGAAATACAACCTAACTGAGTCCATGCACATGCTAAGGCAGCACCACCGTCTCCTTGCCGCTATCATGATCATCTACCAGGACCTCATCAACCATGATGAGATGTTCTCCAACATCTACAAGATTCAGAAGATGGCAGACCAGCTGTGCTTGGAGGTAGAGGGGAAGATGGTCAGTAGGACAGAGAGTAACACTGGTGAATCACTTGTTGGTGGACATGCTTCCTCTGAAGGCTTGGAGGGCAAAGGTACCGAAAGCACAGTAATCACTAGTGTAGAAGCATCAAAAGTTGGGAGACAGGAAGGAGCGTGACAGCACTAAGACATCTAATGAGCTGGCAGGTAAGCAATCAAAACAAACCACTCAACTTTCCATGGATTGTTGTCATCTATGATTTTTCCCCCCTCAACCTTGGCATGATTGTTTAGGAACTAATAAATCTTGGCATTTAGGTTTTAATATTTGAAGTTCATCAGTTTCACCTGAGTGTCTTTCTTCTGTTCAGTTCGAGTAGAACTAGAACATGTTTTAAATTATTTTTAAAATCACGTATAATATGATGCTGTTACTATAAAATTATTTTTGTTCTTAATCTCTTTCCCTCTCCTATAGATAGATAGATAGATAGATAGATAGATAGATATACTAGTATTGATAATTCTTGTTATGAACTACACCATGTGTCAAGCACTATATTAAATGCTTTTCATGCATCTACATATTTAATCCTCATAAGATTCCTAAGGGGTAGATACTATGGTCACCCCCATTTTACAGGTGAGAAAAAGGTATGGGGATATTCCTGTGGTGACAGACAGGAACTGGGAGAGCTGAGGGTCAAACCCAGGGCTGCAGACTCCGTGCTCTTAACCATCACCTCTATTGCTTCTCTGCAAGGGGGCAGGTAGGTCACTTGTTGCTTTCCTTGTACTTTGAATTTTTAATTGATGATTATGTTCATTTAAAAAAGGCAGCACCGCCCTAGCTGGTTTGGCTCAGTGGATACAGCATCGGCCTGTGGACTGAAGGGTCCCAGGTTCAATTCCAGTCAAGGGCACATGCCCAGGTTGCAGGCTCGATCCCCAGTAGGGAGCGTGCAGGAGGCAGCCAATCAATGATTCTCTCTCATCATTGATGTTTCTATCTCTCTCTCCCTCTCCCTTCCTCTCTGAAATCAATAAAAATATATTTAAAAAAAAAAAAAAAGGCAGCACCAAACTATAAAAGAGACTCAACTTGCAAACCAGAATGAATACTCCCAGGTATTACATAGGCCCACTGAGCGGAACCTAAAACCCCTCCTGCCCCCACAACCCCCCTCTCCCATCCCCCTCTCCCAACCACTAATCTAGGAGACTCCTTGGAGCAGAGGGGTGTGTTCAGAGGACCAGCTCCTGACAAACTAGCACGGGCTTTGGAACAATAAGTGGTCTGAAACTGTAATGATAATCATCGCAAAGGGGTGGATGGAAAGTCAAAACAGCATAGCTGTGTTTTATTGGCTTTGGGCAGATTAGCTGGAGGAAATCAGCATTCTTAAGGGATCACCTCTGTGATAGAAGAAAATGTGTAGTAAACAAAGGTGGAAGGTGCCCGGGCGTATGCAGTCACGCCTCCAGTCACTGCGTCCGGAACAATTTGCTGGACAGACCCGGCTGCATTGGAAACGACATAAGGTAATGGGTGACGGTGACGGCGTGACGCCTTCTGCCGCCCAAGTGCTAGGTAATAAGGGTGGTAGTGGGAGCAGCTCCCGCGGGGGCAGAGGAGCAGCTGCTGGTGTCACCTGGGAATGGCGCCCACATATAATTCTCCTCTCCTGACAAGGATTCTCGAGTCCCCCTGTCGCTGTCACTCACCCGCAACATTAATGACTAAAGGGGGGAAGGCGAAGAAAGGCCTGGGCCCCTGAAAGAGAGAGGAAGAGAGAGAGGGACAGAGCAAGTTCATAAATAAAACAGGAGCCTGAAGGGAAGAGCTGCTTTGTCAGAATATAAATATTTCCCTTCTGCTTTTATCTTTAATGTAGTGTGAGAAGCTTATTAAAGGGAAAGGCATCTCTGTCCCTGGAGCCTCGCACAGCCTTGCGGGGAGGGAGCTGCCTGCGGAGGGTGCACCTCAGCCCCCCACTTGGAAGTCTCCCCGCTGGAGTGAGCACCTTGCCAGAGCCAGGAGGAAGGGCTGGGGGAAGAAAGGGAAGCCATTGTGGCCGGAGGATGCTTATCTCGATGGGCCTGGTGTCCTGTTATGTGAATCGCGGGAGATGCTGAGAGACCGAGGCCGGAGTGCCCGTCTGCTCAAAGGCTTGGCTGCTGAGGCCTGGCTGCTAGACTTTCACCGTTTCATTAGGGAGAACAATATCCAAATGTAGACAAAGGGGAATTTGTCTCCAAGAGTAAGACAGATGGAAAAGCTGGCGGGGGTGGGGACCTAGGGGCCTGTGAGTACTCCTCCTCTGAGGAGCCCTCCGTGCCTGCAGACCTCACATCTCTAAGAAGACAGCCAGGGTGGACGGACCAACATCCAGCCTTCCTGAGCCCAGAGCCATCACTATTCCAACAGCACAGAAGATATGCCCTCTCCACACCGCCTCCCTAAAACCCTAAAAATAGGGTAGGGCAGTCAGAGCCCGCATAGCAGTTCAGGCTGGCACAGAGCCTGGCACCCGGTGGGTGCCCAGTGAGGGTGCAGGGCATGATGCTGGGACTGTGCTAATCTGTATGTGTAAGGCAAGCCTGTCAAAGCAAGTTTGACATGCTTGGGTAGGGCCACGCCTGGGGCCTGGCACCCTGGTTTGGATGGGTGAGTGGACACATGCATTTCTGTTGGCCCTCTTTGCTGCCTCTACAAAGGACCTCTGGTCTGATCAGGATTTGGATTCCACCAAGCTCTGTGGCTATCTCGTCTTTGCTGACCATTTTGAGATAGTCAGCCACGTGGTTGCCCAAGGATAAGCCATCCATTCATCAGGTGTCAGAGTCTAGCCAAAGGTGGGGTGGGAGAGCCCCTAAGAATGAGTGCTGAATGTGCTTCTCATTCTTCCCTCTTGTCTGGGCTTTCCCAGTTGCTTCACTGCTCTACCCACCCCGAAACAAACTCATGCATTTTTATTTCTACAATGTAATGAGTGGAGAGGACATTTTTAAATACATATACTGTTTTATTGATTTCAGAGACGAAGGGAGAGGGAGAGAGAGATAGAAACATCAATGATGAGAGAGAATAATTGATTGGCTGCCTCCTGTACACCCCCCACTGGGGATCGAGCCCACAACCCGGGCATGTGCACGTGACCAGAATCAAATCTGGGACCTTTCAGTCTGCCAGCCGACGCTCTATCCACTGGGCCAAACCAGCCAGGGCGAGAGGATATATATATATTTTTTAATTGATTAAGGTATTACAAATGTGTCCTTATCCCCGCATTGTCCCCCCACCCCCGAGAGGACATTTTTTAATCAGCATCTCTGGCTCTCTTGCCAAGGTATTCGTGTATCTCCCGGCACTCTGCGAGGGTTTGCTGCCCTTTCAGACCCATCCATCAGGCATGACTAACCATTCCCGCGCTCAACCTACTTTGCATCCCCACTCAGGCCCCTCCCCAGTATGATGTCTTTTTGGTCTCATCCTCACTCAGTTTGTGCTTCTGGTTCCTGTTCCCACTGAACCTCAGCTAGGTTGGAATAAAGACTCAGCTACAAATCAGAAGACTCGAGTCGTTGCTATCCCACTGCACTCACCACTTGCAGGGCCAATTACAGCTTATGGCAATGTCTGTGTTACAGAGAAGGGTGTGATTCAGGGATCCTGAGCCATCCTTAGCTGCTTCCTAGGGAATTCCTGGCCCACCAGTCTAAATATCGCCTCAGAGCTATTTACAGAACCTGATTTAACATTCCGCCTCCTGCATAAGCCTCAGCCAACCTCCCCTCCGCCTTGGTTGCTTTGGGGGCCAGGTGTCTTGAGAGGGCCTCTTTGCAGGGTTCCCACAGACAGTCTGCAGGAGGAAGAGGCGTGGGGGAGGGTGGCACATACTTATCTGAGGGCCTTTGTATGGAAGAGAGATTACATTTGGACTATGAAGATCAATGGAAGCCTTGGAGAGGAGGTTTTCAGTTCAATATCATGAAGGACTTTCTAACAATTAAATCTGTCTGAAAAATGGAATGGGAACCCTTTAAAAAGACCCCTCTCTCCCAGGACTGCAGGTGGAGGTGAGCTCTCTCTCCAGCCAGAGCTGCCCAATGGCCCGTGACACACACCTGAGGTTTGTCAGTGTGATCAGGCAAGGCCTCCAGTTCTTGAGTCCGACTCCCTAGGCTCACATCCCAGCCCTAACACTTACTAGCTCTTTGATCTTAGGCAAGTTATTTAGCCTCTCGTAGAAATCCAGATGAAAACACATTAGATTTTCTTGACAATTATGAGGGTTGGGTTTTTTGTTTGCTTGTTTGTAATGTTTGTCAAAATAATCTGTAGTTTTTAACAGTGAGATCGTGTTGTAAGCCTTTGGATGTGCTAGGCTCTTACTGGTTTATAGAAGTCATAAAAGAGAGGCCACCATTTCTCACTAGCTACAAAAGAAAACAGCATTTTGTAATTAATTGTTATTTTACATACATACATAAACACAAACGTTAGTGCT